CAGTTAACTAATCCTCTTCCGTAGAATAGGATATTTGAAGAGGCCTCTATTTTCCTATTTGATCACTTAGACTTATGTGGAGGACCAATCCTGCCATAATTAAAAAGGACTTCAAATCTATGCTTTACATAGCTTTGGGCTCTGTTCGAATTCATGGGCTGCATCCTCCAAGAACGCAGTCTACCGTACCTAAACTGGAGCCTCCGAAGTCCATGAAAATAAGGAGACTGGAATACTTTTGGCTTTGAATTAAAACAGGTCTACTCTTCGGCAAATTTACCGCCAAAGGCTATGTTGCTTAGCAACCATGATGACCGTTGACAAAAAAAAGCGGGAAAAGAATCAATACCGAAGTTTTCAAAACTGTTTGTTTATTTCTTTATTTTTTATTGAGTGGAATTAAGGTTCCAACCACCGGGAGCAGGAACAACTAAAATCAAATGTAATGATAGAAACCTTAGTCAGTTAAATAACTATGGAGAGATATTTGTGCCATCGGTTTGAGCGCGCAGGAACCAATCCGAGCGCGCAGTGAGACAACACGCGCGCGCGCAAAACCGGTCTGGCGCGCGCTCAACTCTCGCGCTCAGTTTCATCTCTGCGCGTGCTCGAATCCGTCTCTGCTCGCGCTCGCTCGACCTGCTCTCTCTCCGCGCTCAACACCAGCTGTGCGCTCGGCTGTTTCTCCGCTCGCTCGACTCTCTGCGCTCGCAACTTCAGCAATGTATGTAAATGAACCATACCATCAGCCAATCACACTCAGCTTCTTTTCATCCAATGAAAGCATTCCTTCCTTCTTCTTCTTCTTTTCTATCATGGCGGATCGCAAGCAACTTTAAGGTGCATACCGCCACCTACTGTTCATGAGTGTGTAGCAACATTGTTTTACATCTATTAAATTCTATTTTTTAATTTTGCATTCTGAAGATAACTAAATAATGCTTTCCTTAATCTATAAACATCCTTTATATTTCCTTTATTTCCCAATAATCCTTTAAGACTCCATTCTTGGCCTGTCATTTCAACTACTCTTCTCAATTTTTCCCTTTCAGGTTCATATGTTTTACAGTTCATTAATATGTAAGCATTCGTTCCAAATACTACATCCGGTTAGATGAAAAAAAATACATAAATAAATAAAAACACAATCAGGAAAATCAAACAACTCTTACAGTTATTTTGTCAACATTCCTAAGATAGTACTATAAAATATCTTGAATTATCTCAAATAAACTTCAGTAAAACAGTTATTAGATCATTGCCTCATCCATCTCTTTTACCTGCTATTGACATGGATTTAAATTTGATGTTTTAAAAGAAAAATAAGGAGGATATTTCAGGTTCCAGTATGGTTCAACAATATATAGATAAAAAATATTATGGATATGTTAAATTTTTTATGGATGCTTCAAAATATTCCAATATTAGGAATGGTGTTTTGTTTTAGTTTCATAATTTATTTTTAAATCGGGTAAAAGAATCAGTGATGGAATTCAGCCTACAAAGGAGAAATGTTTTGGATCATATTGGCCTTACAATGGATTGAAGAAATCGTTCCATTAAGAAGTTTAGTTTGCTCTGATTTTAGATCAGCGACCGTTATATTAATTTAAACGCAATTATTCAGACAGCAGACCTGATCTGAAATTCAACAATTATTATTTAGAAGACCTTTTACAGATGGACTCTAAATAAGAGGGTTATTCTTTATTATATATATTAAAAAGAATAATTTGATAAACAGGATTTTTCAGTTGGTGGCGGTAATTGTTGTTTGCCAACCTCCATAAAAAACAACAAAAAGAAGAAACACCCGCCACAAAAGCTAAGAGTAAGGCCAATATGATCCAAAACATTATCTATATACTGTTGAACCATACTGGAACCTGAAATATCCTCCTTATTTTTCTTTTAAAACAGCAAATTTAAATCCATGTCAATAGCAGGTAAAAGAGATGGATGAGGCAATGATCTAATAACTGTTTTACTGAAGTTTATTTGAGATAATTCAAGATATTTTATAGTACTATCTTAGGAATGTTGACAAAATAACTGTAAGAGTAGTTTGATTTTCCTGATTGTGTTTTTATTTATTTATTTATTTTTTTTTCATCTAACCGGATGTAGTATTTGGAACGAATGCTTACATATTAATGAACTGTAAAACATATGAACCTGAAAGGGAAAAATTGAGAAGAGTAGTTGAAATGACAGGCCAAGAATGGAGTCTTAAAGGATTATTGGGAAATAAAGGAAATATAAAGGATGTTTATAGATTAAGGAAAGCATTATTTAGTTATCTTCAGAATGCAAAATTAAAAAATAGAATTTAATAGATGTAAAACAATGTTGCTACACACTCATGAACAGTAGGTGGCGGTATGCACCTTGAAGTTGCTTGCGAACCGCCATGATAGAAAAGAAGAAGAAGGAAGGAATGCTTTCATTGGATGAAAAGAAGCTGAGTGTGATTGGCTGATGGTATGGTTCATTTACATACATTGCTGAAGTTGCGAGCGCAGAGAGTCGAGCGAGCGGAGAAACAGCCGAGCGCACAGCTGGTGTTGAGCGCGGAGAGAGAGCAGGTCGAGCGAGCGCGAGCAGAGACGGATTCGAGCACGCGCAGAGATGAAACTGAGCGCGAGAACAGTGTGTTGAGAGGGTTTTTCAGAGTTGAGCGCGCGCCAGACCGGTTTTGCGCGCGCGCGTGTTGTCTCACTGCGCGCTCGGATTGGTTCCTGCGCGCTCAAACCGATGGCACAAATATCTCTCCATAAATAACATTCTGCTTTCATTTTGCACATCTCTGATGTTGCTGCTATTTTCACATATCCATTACTGTAAAAATGTCCATAGCTGCATACTGGTTATTTATTCTCCAGGTGCACAGTTTGATATTGTTAAAACACTTTACAGTATTTTATTGTTTATATTTTCACTCTTCCCTATTATATTATTCTTAGACATTTTCTAAGGTCCACATTTGTGTGACCATTTTCAACTATCTTTTTGCTGCTGTAAATTTCCCCATTGTGGGACTATAGAGGGATTATTTGTTTATCAACACGGCGGATGCGCGCGCATCTTGACTGCAAAAAGTGCCGGGTCCTTTAAAGCGTCTGGTCGAATGTTGTGATTATACGCGGTTATTTAGCAGTTGCGATCTGCTAACTAGCGATGTTGTCAGCGTTCTACAACAGTTTATCACCTAGTGATAAAATAAGTTATGCTGCTAAATTAACACTAGTTAATGGAATACGTCTTAATGACCCATACGCGTTACATGCCGGTGAGTGGATAAATGACGAGAAAAAATGGCCCAAAAATTCAGTGGCCGGACATTCATTCCCACCTGTGCAAAGTGCAATAGGCATTTCCATTACGAATGTGCAAAAGTAAAAAGAAAGGCTAAAGAATGGTATTGTGATCAGCGCAAAAAACAGAAAAACTAGAAAAAATGCACTCTGAAAAATAGAGTTGTAACTGTACCTGTGCTTACCATTCAAAGTATGCACTAAGGTTCTCAGTGTGCATCTTATGACAAGATTGTTTAATATTGTTATTTTTATTATTGGTTACATGCACAAGAATAAATATATTTCAATGTTTCCTTGACTCTTGAATACTTTATTAATATTTACACAGGGTGTACACAGGTATCAGCTGATTGAATTGTATTCTTTTCAATGGCAAAACACAAAGCAAAATATCTGCATATTTCATTTAAGATTTTGAAATATATCATACAACAGAGGAATAAGGAAAAATCTCAATATTCAAAAGCAAACTGGATACAACACACATTTTGAACCAAAACTGCTGCAAAATGTTTTAAACCACAGCTTTTGAATGTTCAATGAGCTTATGCAGTGAAAATACTTAGGCAATCATTTTTTTCAAAAAAAAAATAATATTCAATGACATTTAAACCTCAATTCATAGATGTTAACAACATTAAGGCCTTAATTTTGGCACAATTCAATTAAGGGCTTTTAATTTATTTTCTAGGGACTATGCATTTGCAAATGTTTGTCAATGCTGCACAAACAATTACAATGTCATCTAACAGGTCCACCTGGGATAAAGGAATAACAGTAGTAAGAATTCGGAAAGTTTTCCATCTCCCTATTATTCTTTCAATGTGTATTTTAACATTGGACAAACGCCTCGATGTTTCCACCTCTTGAGCAGACAACTGCTTTTTACCTTTGGTAAAGTGAGGGATCCTCAGGGTAGCACCACGCAAGGCAAGCTCATCTCTAATGGTAAAACCACGATCTGCTAGTATCTCATCATTTACTTGTAGAAGGTCATAAAATCCAGACTCGGCTGAAAGTTGTTTATCAGAAACACGCCCACCCCAACCTGCAGACAGAAATGTAATTGCTCCTGCAGGTGACATGCCAACCAAATACTTAACCGTGTTATGGCTCTTATAATTTGAATATGTTTGGGCTCTGGCTGTTAAATTTGTTGGTCTGTTAATAAAAAATTTCTGTGCAGTTAATAATGCACCTGCAACGCTGGTATTTAGGTTTGAAACATTTTGGCATATTCTTTAAAATAGCATGCTTACTTGGCCACTTGATTAAAGGTTTCAAAATCTGAGACATAATAGGCAGCCAACTTCTTAAGATTTTAGAGATGTCACATTCGTTAACATTAAATCTGAATGCAATATCCTTGTTGGTGAGTCCTAATCTGAGTTTCATGAGTACAGCCAAAAGATGATCCTCTAGGGTCAGAGAGCCACGGATGACCTCAACACTGTCCTTAATCGTCTGCAGGACCCAATTAAAGAGGGCACTGGTTAGACCTGTGAAAAACAGCACCTGTGCTGCTTTACACTTCAGTGACGCAAAATAGAAACTGTGCAGTCCCGAGCATTTCTTTTAATTGTTCATTCTCTGTTTTCAGTTTGTTGATGTCCTCACGCAGGTTATCACACTCTGTATGAAGTTGGCTGTACTTCAGCTGGAGGTCATCATGGACAGTCTTTTGGACCATACCTTCTGAAAAATAAATACAAATTTTACATTATCTTTACAAAAAACAAATGGTTACATTCTGGGTGATAAGTCACACTGTGGGCAAATACCTGTTCGCAACAAATATGAACATTACTAACTGATTAATCCCACTAGTACGGAAGAGGATAAGGGCCACTGGAAAAAAAAAAAAGTTAACTGTTTTTGTTTATTTTATTTCAGTATAGTATGGGAAAAAAGTCAGAATTCTGACTTTTTTCCCATACTAAACTGAAATAAAATTTTAAAATCAGTTTACTTTTTTTTTTTTTTTTCAGTGGCCCTAAACCTCTTCCGTACACTAGTGACCTTTCTATTCTGCAATAATTAATATGTTAACATTTAGGAACACACAGATCTACGTCCCTTTATAAAAATCCAAATGAGTTTGCAGGCCGTCTTGGTCCGGTTAGTAATAAGGTTTCATACCATTATATAGATCAGCACCAGCCTCTATTCCACACTCAGTTGGAGAGATGGAAGAGGGTGTACACTGATGTCCATCTTCTGGACACCTGCTGGGGGTTGCATCCCTTCTTCTTTTTCTCTTATATCTGAAACACACAGGAGAGAACAATCTCCTGAATTCAAGTCCATACAAATCACATGCTCAGTCATCCCAACTCTCCATATGAGATGTCTAATAAAAACTCCATGCTCTGACCTTTAACCCGGGTAACCTATATAGCTACAATATATCAATATTTTTTCTTTGCACTTCCAGTCATACTATGTGGAGTCATGCTTGTAATCAGACAACAATCAAGCACACAGATGTGATACTTACCGCTCCAGTTTTGCAACACCGTCTTTGCCGGGCTGGATTGAGTATGGAAAGATAGACGGGACAAAGTCTGGGATGTCGTCTGATGCCTCTCCTGTACAAATAATGAATTGAAGCAATCATCATCATCATCAACAGACACTAGTCAATCAATTGAAAAGACAGCACACACAGAGAAGTTTAGACCAGACAACGTGATGATGTTAATGATAAAACTTATGGCTGACCCGATGAGTTGCAACTTGATAAGACTGAATGAAGGTACATTAGCTTGTATGCTAGTTATGCTCCAATGTGTTTTGTACGATTCATTAATCCCGTTTATATATGTAATACTTAATAATTGTATGTAAAACCATTGTTTGTAAAACCAGCGATGCCGTTTAGCTTTTTTATAGATAAGACTTACCTGATATAAAGTGATCGCTGCAGATTGATGCATTTTTAATCATCTGCTCGTTCCAATCGCTTCTTCTGATGGCTTGCAACCAAAGACGTCTCTTGTTTGCCTTGAAAGGGGTGCCAGTTGATGGGATTCGGTAAAACTTGCGCGTTTTATTGTTTTTATCAAAACGGTTCGTGCAACCGACAGCACAACAAGACATGTTAGCGGCTCTTTCTGCAGGCGACATGCGCATTGGTGCCGGAAGTGACGTAGAGTGACCTTGCCTGATAATCCCTCTATTAAGACATTTTCTATTCTATAAAAGGAGTAGAAATATATAGGTAAATCTAAACAATGTATGTATAAAGAATATATCCGCAAAATAACATTCAACAAAAAAAAAATCTTAGTTAAGCATATCTTGCTTGGAGTCAGTGGGTCATATGACCTGGAAGCTATTGAAGAAATAGCAATTATTTTTATAATAAAAAATGTTTAACAATGAACAAAGGAACAAATGGAATAAAAATGAGTGTGCCTCATCAGGTTAATGTAGTATAACAATTTCACAAAGAATTTGAATCAGAAGGTCACATGACCTGGAAGCTATTGAAGAAATATAAATTATTTTTGTATTTTTGTCCTCATTTGCATAATGAGGCAGAAATGCATACAGAAATGTAAAAACGACGGCCAGAAATAAATAGCATTGACGAAATAAATAGGGTAAAAAAAAATAGAAAGAAAGAATAATACAGATAAAAATGGTATAACATGCACATACAGGTGCTGGTCATAAAATTAGAATATCATGAAAAAGTAGATTGATTTCAGTAATTCCACTTAAAAAGTGAAACTTGTATATTATATTCATACATTACATACAAACTCATATATTTCAGATGTTTATTTTGTTTAATTTTGATGATTACAAATGACAACAAATGAAAATCTCAAATTCATCATATCAGAAAATTAGAATATTGTGAAAAGGTTCAAAATTGATGGCCCCTGGTGCCACACTCTAATCAGCTAATTAACTCAAACCACCTGCAAAAGCCTTTAAATGGTCTTTCAGTCTAGTTCTATAGGCTACACAATCATGGGGAAGACTGCTGACTTGACAGTTGTCCAAAAGACGACCATCGACACCTTGCACAAGGAGGGCAAGACACAAAAGGTCATCGCTAAAGAGGCTGGCTGTTCACAGAGCTCAGTGTCCAAGCACATTAATAGAGAGGCGAAGGGAAGGAAAAGATGTGGTCGAAAAAAGTGTACAAGCAAGAGAGATAACCGCACCCTGGAGAGGATTGTGAAACAAAACCCATTCAAAAATGTGGGGGAGATTCACAAAGAGTGGACTGCAGCTGGAGTGAGTGCTTCAAGAACCACCACACACAGACGTATGAAAGACATGGGTTTCTGCTGTCGCATTCCTTGTGTCAAGCCACTCTTGAACCACAGACAGCGTCAGAAGCGTCTTGCCTGGGCTAAAGAGAAACAGGACTGGACTGCTGGTGAGTGGTCCAAAGTCATGTTCTCAGATGAAAGTAAATTTTGCATTTCCTTTGGAAATCAAGGTCCCAGAGTCTGGAGGAAAAGAAGAGAGGCACTTCATCCACGTTGCTTGAAGTCCAGTGTAAAGTTTCCACAGTCAGTGATGGTTTGGGGTGCCATGTCATCTGCTGGTGTTGGTCCATTGTGTTTTCTGAGGTCCAGGGTCAACGCAGCCACATACCAGGAAGTTTTAGAGCACTTCATGCTTCCTGCAGCTGACCAACTTTTTAGAGATGCAGATTTCATTTTCCAACAGGACTTGGCACCTGCACACAGTGCCAAAGCTACCAGTACCTGGTTGAAGGACCATGGTATCCCTGTTCTTAATTGGCCAGCAAACTCTCCTGACCTTAACCCCATAGAAAATCTATGGGGTATTGTGAAGAAGAAGATGCAATACACCAGACCCAACAATTCAGAAGAGCTAAAAGCCACTATTAGAGCAACCTGGGCTATCATAACACCTGAGCAGTGCCACAGACTGATCGACTCCATGCCACGCCGCATTGCTGCAGTAATACAGGCCAAAGGAGGCCCAACTAAATACTGAGTGCTGTACATGCTCATACTTTTCATGTTCATACTTTTCAGTTGGCCAACATTTCTATAAATCCTTTGTTTTTATTGGTCTTCAGTAATATTCTAATTTTCTGATATGATGAATTTGAGATTTTCATTTGTTGTCATTTGTAATCATCAAAATTAAACAAAATAAACATCTGAAATATATGAGTTTGTATGTAATGTATGAATATAATATACAAGTTTCACTTTTTAAATGGAATTACTGAAATCAATCTACTTTTTCATGATGTTCTAATTTTATGACCAGCACCTGTAAATAAATACTTAAAGAAATAAGTAATAAATAAAGTTGAAGATTATAATTGACAATAAACAAATAAGGTAATTATTAAAAAGGTGAAAAATGAAAGAAGCTAATTAAAAAGTGATATATATACATTTATATCTTACTGTATAATTTAATTTCTATCTACATTTATTTGTTTATTGTATTTTTGGGGGGCAATTAATTGTATGCTTATTTATTTTTGGACAATTTATTTATTTCTGTATTAATTTCAAATTATGGCAGGATCGGTCCTCCATACCTTAGACAAATGTTATTGTCTTTTTGTATGGCTCTCATTACATTTTCCATTTGTTAAAATGTAGCAGCGATCAAATGTAAACATTGGGAGAAAAAAAAACGTGGTGCAAAAATACGCATTGATTTGGTCAGTTTGATGCAGAGACCATGACGTTAATTTACTTTTTTTTTTTCAATTTAGTTTTTCTTTTTTTTTCAACATTCACCTGTTCGATGGTGGTGGGGAAGAAGCTGTTTCGGAATCTGCTGGAGTTGCATCCAAAGCCTCATCCCCGTCCATTGTGGGGGTGTGAGGGGTCACTGATAAAGTTACGGGCTCGGGACACAGTGCAAAAATAATAGAGCTTCCATTTGACAGGATTTTAATGGCAAATAGTCAGCTCTAGACATCATTTAGACTTGAATTATCACTATATGTCTTCTATCTATACTAACATTTTAGCTTCAGACACACACAAATAGTCTTTAAAACTACTACTACTACTGTTGTAAATATCAACATTTCTTCCAGGATAACCCAGGACTTCAAAAGCATAAAAACTGCGAATGAGATTTGACTTTGTTTTGCAAGATTTCAACCACGACTGTAGCTTTTACAGTTTGTAAAAAGATGCGCTACTGCAGGTCATTCATCCCTGCTGCCACCAGATTCTACAATGCAACACAACGGCAATAACTTGTGTAATGTATAATGTGCAATTACTATTTAATACCCTGTGCAATATATATATTTTTAAATATATATATATAAATATCCATCTCTACAAATACAAATCCAAGCAGCCTGTGCAATAACCCTCTGTAATAATCCTGCAACAAAAAAAAAAAAAGCAAATACTGTCATATGTTGATGGACTGTCCTTTCTCTTCCTTTGGCACATTCTTCTCTTTTGACTATTTAAACTGATGTAATGAGTAAATTCCTCCACTGTGAGATCAATAAAGTCAATCAATCAATAACCACATCCTGTTACTTTCTTAAATTGACTTGTAGAGTTATGGCCAAGTTTATTAAGGATGGCTGAAAAGCATTTCCTTACTTGTAAGAATTTGTCTCCATACGTCTGCAGTGACAATCAGAAAAGAAAGTTGCATGCAACTTTTTGAATGAAGAGCACATGACCTTTAATAAACTGGGAAGGTTGTAATTTCAGCTTATGAACATATGCTTAAGTATTCATAATCCAAGAAAAAAACTGACAAGATACACTGCAGTTAAATAAAATCCTTTATGTAATCATACATGTCAAATTACTTTACACAACCTTTGAAATTGTAACTTTTTCTGCACAACTGTCAATGTGTTTAACTGCTTGAAAAAGTAACAGGAAAATATACTGAAAGGAATTTGCAACTGTCGGTTATTGTTACATAAAAAAAAAAAACCTCATTCATGTTTGTTACAGTTCATTTCTTTTCAGAATGTAAATCCAGGAGTCTGTAGGGGAAATAAATAAGGACATGAAAACTTAAATTTCTACTGCTTTCAATGAGTTGTGCATATCGTCTTTTATTAGCTCATCTTTCACTAGAAATGTTTTATCAAAACGTACTGTAGTCTCTAATGCAACACAGGAAAGATTGGACAAGGGGCTTTATGATTTAACATCATAAAGCCACTATACCATCAAGGATGATGGAAGGTTTAATTTGACAAAACAGGAATGGAGCTTAGGCAATCTTTTTCCTCTTGGCCTTTCTTTTGAGCTCCTCTTCCTCCCGCCTCTCCTCCTCCAGGTCCTCCTGCACAGCCATTCTTAAGCTAAAGCAGAAATAATTGAGAGAGCAAAAATATATCCGGTTAAAGTATATAATTATTATCAGTAGATTAAATGAACCGATAGTATGATTGAATGTATGTTTAATACCTCCGGGCCTCTTCTTTCTGCAAGTCTTTCCAGCTGCTCTCCATAAATTTAAGAGCATAATCACTTTCATCTTTGTATCTGAGGATTAAAAGGGAAGAAAGGTTAGAGTCTTATAAATTACTGTTCTTTTCATAAAGCATAATCTAAACAAATT